TGTCTTTATCTACGGTGATAGTAGAAGCCATGGTACACCAAATCTGATGCAACGTGAGCACAGATTTCCACTGTCTTTGTCTATGGAGATAGTATAAGCCACGATACACTAACTCTGGTGCAAGATGAGCACATATTTCCACTGTCTTTGTCTATGGAGATTGTAGAAGCCACGACCATGGCTTCTACAATCTCCATAGACAAAGACAGTGGAAATATGTGGTCATCTTGCATCAGATTTAGTGCACCATGGCTTCTACTATCATCATAGACAAAGACAGTGGGAACCTATTCTCATATTGCATTTGATTTAACATGCTTACGCTTCCACCGTCCCATGACACATTCTCGTCTCCTCCCAAAGAGCAGCGAATACTTGATGGTTGGGTATCTAGTGATGCACGTGACTAAATGGGGGGGGGGGTCGTAGTTTCATTCCAGTTCTGGTGAAGTGAATGTTCTAGAATGGAGTCATACGAGTCCTCATAATGAAGTTTGAAACCTCTACCATATGAGGTGGTATATATTCAACTATTGAAGAAGTAATTAACACAGAATGTGTATACTCCGATTAACGTACAATTCCTCACAAATTATTGGCAGTCTCCTTTGGAATTATGACGTGCCACAAAATATTTATCTGTATCTAATTTTGTTCAAATCGTTCTTTAATTAAGACGACGCGATATCCAGCCTCGTTAAATGTGAAAGTTTACCTATTGTGTAGCTTTGCGCTAAAATATACAAACTAAATTCAAATTGTATTAACCATCAGTGGCACAGCGGAAAGTCTGTGAACTTATGACGCAAAAAACCGGTTTTCGATACCCGTGGTGGGCACATCACAGATATCTCATTCTGTAGCTGTGTTCTTAATTACATAAACATCAAAATGAAATATATTTCCCACCAGTGGCACGGCGATAAGTCTGAAGGCTTATAACGCTAAACACCGGGTTTCGATACCCGTCGTGGGCACAGCTAAGATAGCCCATTGTGTAGGTGAGTGCTTAATTAAAAACAAAAACTGAAATGCATTTCACTTAGTCACGATTTTAATCCTCGTTATTGGCATATATTTAAAGGTTTTCCACTAACTTTCAGCTTTACACTTTAACAAAGCACAAAACTATGCAATGTGTCCATTGCGGTTATCGAACCCAGATTTTTCGCATCACAAGTCCTACGACTTACCGCCTATCCGCCTGGGGTGAGGGTAATAATAGAGAAAATTCAGTATTCTTTCTGGCCAACTAGTCTCATTTATTTTCATTTGTGTTCGAACAACAACAAAAAATTGTACATTTACATCTAGATCTATAACTGTTAAAAAACCCGGTAGTAATACATATGAGACTACTCATTTTGAGAAAAAACAAAAATAAAAGGCAAACTCGTTTGGGCTTCAATTCTAAGCCTAAAATGTTTCTTCAGTTAAAAAATAATAATTAGAACTTAACAAGAGACTTGTGACTCCTAAACGCAGGCGCCACTTGACCATAAAAACCGATTTATCGTTTCATCACAGAAAATTAATGGTTTGGGCATTGATAGGAGGATGACGTGATGTGAACGTGCCAGTCTTGCCTCGAGAATCGTCGTGTTCGTCGACTGTAATCACTTTATCAATTCTTTATAGTAGATACGTTTCACTTGTATTACGATGAACAAATGCATACGTAGTGGTAGTTTAGGGCTAAAGCTGAAAAGGCTTAGCAATACACGATCGATGTCAACCGTGTTCCAGGTTTTTAATGTTTGTTTTTCTTCAAATCTAATAAGCCCTACGTATTTGCACATGGTAATTTAACTGTCAGTATCTTTCTATTAAGACAATTCAGATTTGATTTGAAATCAAGACAGATCCCCTCTCCCCCATTATTTGTTTAAGACTAGGCTTAATGTTTATTTCACACTTTTGCTGATACGCGTTCGTCACATTTTTTTGTGACAAAGAAGTTTTTTTTTAGCGTATTTGGTTTAGAATTTTTGCACAAAGCTACACAAAGGCTAGCTGAGCATAGTCATTCCTTAATTGAAAACTAATACCAGAGGGAGCTATTCAACAACCGTTAACTCTTGGGCTACTCTTTGCTGATCGAATATTGTAGTTTTATCATCACTTTTATAACGCCTCCATGGCCGCAAAGCGCGAAGCACGTTTTTTTCAGCAACGGGATTCAGAAATACGAGCACGCTAACCATTAAGCCACACCCAGCCTAAAAGCCTTTAATTTAGCGGATTACGTTTTTCTTGTGTAAATAAAAATCCTTGTATCGACGAAACCTGTGAAGTAAATCGTGTTCCCAGCGTGACTTAGCGGTTAGCGTGCAGGATTGTCTATTTGCGGATCCACTGTTCGCGTCCCGTTACTGTAAACAAACAAACAGCGTTGCGGTCTTTGGACACGTGGGTGCGTTATAATGACGATAGTTAAATCCCACTGTTCGGTCAGACGAGTAGCCCAAGGTTTGGCGGTCTGTGCTGTTGAGTATATGCCTTCTCTCTAATCTATCTGTTCAAAATTAGGGACCATTAGCGCACTCAATACACGAGTAGCTTTGTGCGAATATCCGAAACAAACAAGCAAGAATTTGTTAGATTTATTATTTTAAAAAATAACCTTTTTTACATCAAGTGTACCAGTTATTATATATTTTATCATTCAAGGAAATTATATAATACTAGCTGGAGTACCCGTTTCCTGGATGGAAGTTATGTAAATACATGATTCATGAAAGGTTATCTTAGGACATGAAAAATTGCTTCCCTTATTCCCTTATATATATGTAATTGTAAAAAACGCCCATAAAAACTGTAAAACACACAATGTGAAACCGCAAGTTTGCATGTATCTCCGCATGGGCCCAACAAACCTTCATGCTCAATTTGGTGAAGATCCATCAACAGGGAGCGAAGTAGTGGCGAAAACGACCACAAAAAAAAAACACAAAATGCAAAATTAAAAATTTGTATGTACCCCCACATGGACCTAATGAACCTCCATAAAAATTTTGGTGAAGGTTCACCCACACTCTGCGAAGTAGTTACATGGACATACAACAGACGGTACACGCTATATTACCAATTTGAACACGTGTGGTTGTTATTTTCCCCGAAAGGGGGCCAAAGGCCGCCTGGAGGGGTCACCTCTTTTAAACACTCGCACCACCATACTGTAGTGTGTTGTCTGTTAGTCAGTAAACACTAATATGACGTCACATAAGAGATTTTTAACGTTGCAATTTGTACTGTCGTGACGTCGGTAAAACGTGCGCATGTCGTGAATCACGAGAAGAATTGTGCACTCCAGGTTACAACACGGCATGACATATAAACTTCAAAAGCAAGAAATATAAATATTTGTTACTCATAATTTTGGTTTTATTTTCTCTTGAAACAGAACACTTTCGGGGATCCTGCGGAAGTTCATCAAGTAGTATATAGCTTTCTTTTTCATCCGATAAAGTTTATTTTAGTAAAGGGTTGTTGTAAGGAGGGGGGGGGGCAAAGCAAAGATTCATTACATAGCTCACGATACTTTTGTCTCACTCCGAAAATATGGCGGTCCATTCTATAATAGAGTTTACACGACTCGCACCTCTCAGTGGCTTGAGGGCTTATAACGCTACAAATTGGGGTTAGATACTTGCAATGGCCACAGTGCAAGATAGTCCATTGTGTAGGTTTCCGCTAAAAACAAGACAAAAAAAAACATGACTCACGGAATTAAAATGGTAGAAATTCTAACATAAATTCTAAAAAAAATATCTTAAATTCGAAAACAATCTCGATTTTTTTTTTTCAATTCGTACGAATCGCCACCAAACAAAGATTTCGTTTGTATTAAATTTGTTAACCTATTTGGAAACCTGTGTTGCTGAATTTGATTAGATTTGTAACATTATCGTAACCTTAGAATTACGAATAAGGGCCCGGCATGGCCAGGTGGTTAGGGGGCTCGACTCGCAATCTGACGGTCGCGGGTTCGAATCCCCGTCACACCAAACATGCTCGCCCTTTCAGCCCTGGGGGCGTTATAAAGTGACGGTCAATCCCACTATTCGTTGGTAAAAGAGTAGCCCAAGAGTTGACGGTGGGTGGTGATGACTAGCGAAATTCAAAAAACAAACAAACATTACGAATAAGGTACATATCAGCTTTTTTAAACTATTTAAACACCAAATTGTTTGTGAGCCCACGACTTTGTCCGTTAGAGGGTATCCAAATATCGCGTGAATCTCACATAAAGAAGTAAACGGTATCGCTGTTAATATTGGATTTAATTCCATAAATCATTTGGTTTATTATGTATTTTCCACAGAAAAATGAGCATTTTCCTCTAATTTTGTTTGTCAGTTCTTTACACTGTGCTGCCCCCCCTGTGGCTATCTGTGCTCTGCCCACCACGGGTATCGAAACCCGGATTGTAGCGTTGTAAGTCCGCAGACATACCGCTGTGCCACTGGGGGCAAATTATCGAAAGATTGAAATGTTTAACGTTTTTAACCATCAGTGTTTGTTTGTAATTAAGCACAAAGCTACTCAATGGGCTATCTGGGGGGGCGACCATCAGTGTTCCATTGGCTCGTGGACGTGCATTTCCACTTTTCAAAAGTAAACGAGTATTTATTTCGTTTCCATAGGTACGCGATAATATAAGACAATGACTATAAAAGGTGATACAGTTATAAGAGCTTTGGAAATTAATTAATGCACATTTTTGTTTTGTTTTTTCAAAATTGATTTGGGTAGAACGTGCTTCCCCACATAACTAATTCAATGTTACGAGAATTCGCTAAATGTAGAGCGTGTTCAATTAATGGTTCAAATGTTACTGGTTTTGAAATTAGCGTCTTCGTTTTCTGCTGATGATAATTCGTGAAGCCAAATCGTCATGAAGGAGCCTCGTGGAGCACGTGTTGTCTTTCCTGCTTGCCGAGGCCTTGATAGCGAGCCCCAACGGCACGTGAAATGATACTCAATACGGTGGTTGACGCTGACTGAAGGTACTGGTGTTGTCCATCCAGTTTCGATAGAAAGGATCTGAGCAAAATGTCAACCCTCCCGGGAAATGGTCTTTCATCCCGCTGTGGATCAGGACAACCTTCAACAAGTTTACGTCCGAGAAAACACAGCCTCCCCGTCGTTTTCCGTCGACCTTCGCTGTTGGGCTATGCGGCAGCAGTAGAGATAGCACGGGAAGCGCAAGTCTCGGGAGTTCGACGCCGGAGACTAAGTCTAGTCACGCGCCGTCTCTCGACAACAATAGGATGGCGGACGGCGATATCCCAAGACGAAGTGGTCTCTCAGGCTGAAAATCTTTGCGGTCGATTTTTAAGAAACAAATTGCGCTCGTTTGGCCCCATCCATAAAAAGCTTGGACTACAGCGACTTAGGAGCCTTAGTCAGATCGGCGGAGATCCGTTAATGGTGGAAGTGGGCGACCAGTTGCGGCAGTTGGCCGAGCTTCTGGAGAGACAAAACCCTCGACTATTCCAGAGCGTCATTAATAGTGTCGGTCTTAAGTCACTACCGGACGAATCAGCCGTGGTACATTTGTTTCAAAAAGTAGCAGACGAAATTATTCGTTCTGAGATATCCTGGGGTCGTATCGTGGCGCTGTATTGTGTGGCTGGGGCTATAGCTCTGGACTGTGTACGTTTGGGACACCCTGAATTTGTGTTAGGGCTAATGCGAGGAATGGGGTCAGTCATAGAGGGGGATGGAGCAGCGTGGATAGTCCAACAAGGAGGATGGGTAAGTATCGTGTTTTGAATATTATACATAAATCGAAGTAAGTGAATCCCATTTCCTGGACGTTATATTTTGGGGGTTAGATGGAGGGTAAAAAAGAACGTTAATCGCATTTCCTGGACTTTATATTTATAGGGGTTAGAAGGGGAGGATAAAATCTTCCCAAATTTCTCTTAAAATAATAGTTTTCTTTTGGCAGCTGTCTAATTGATAACTGCTTTAATTTAAATAATTCGTGACCTAATCATGCACAAAACAGTAGTTGAAGAGATTGGCAGACTGAGCCTAAAGAGGGCGTAATATCATATAATGCCAAAGATTCGAAAAAACTACGTAAATATCGATTACAACATAAAAGCTTATGTATTTCCCTTGGCTCGATATTTGTCCTCCTGCGGGGATTTTTGCAGTTTGGACTCCCAGTTGGCAAGAGCAGCTGGCTAGAATCAATATTTTATATGATTTTTTTTTTACGTAGGTCCTGGCATATAAGAGGTAATGGCTGCTGTAGTAGTTATGCCACACGAAGGTACGTGTATATTTAATAGCAAGTTGTTGGCAAAACAAACTTTGCTAGATTTAACAGACTGGTTTCCCTTGAAGCTTTGTAACTGAGTAGGGTTGTGTTAAGCTCCGAATTTCAAGTACGCGATATTCTCTAAGAGATAAAGGTTTCATTAGCAATATATTACAAACATGAATTCGTAGTCCTGTTGGCGTCGCAAGAGATACTTCTGCATTTATCTCGTTTATCGCCCTCTGGTGACTGAGCGGACTTAAAACGCTAAAAACCGGGTTTCGATACACGTGGTAGACACAGCAGCAGCAGCAGTAGTAGTAGTAGTAGTAGGCATCAGTAAGTCTCGCAAGATTAAGCAACCAAAAAAAAAAAAGACAAGCACACTGTTGTAGTTTGATCAGGCAAAGATTGTTGTTGGGCATGAAGGCTGTTGTGTTGAATTATATTGGGCATGAAGGCTGTTGTGTTGAATTATATTGGGCATGAAGGCTGTTGTAGTGAATTATATTGGGCATGAAGGCTGTTGTGTTGAATTATATTGTGCATGAAGGCTGTTGTGATGAATTATATTATTTACAATGGTCCTTTTTTTAGTTCTGCTTGTTGAGCTCTTTAATTTTCATTTTTTCTTCACATCTTCCTTCACACACCTTTTCCAAACACTGCAGTTTTCTGCTACTTCTTCCCAATTATCAAGAAAATTCTCAAAATTTTTCATATCCCTTGTACAAACGACCTTGTAGCGTAGATGGGGACGTTCAATTGATATATTTCCTGTCGCGAGCTTCCCTCGTGTCTTTGGGGATTCTACTATTTGTCATGCGCCGTGTACGTGTCCAAGCCATCTCAATCTTCTCTGACTCGGTAGTGAGAAGATAGGACAGCACAGATGACTCATTGTGTAGCTTTGTGCTTAAGAACAACCGAATCTCGCTTATCGCCCCTGGTGGCTCATCGGTAAACTTGAGGACTTGTGAAGGTAAAACTCGAGGTTCGATACATGCGGTGGTCGCGGCGCTTTAAAATAAATGATTTTGTTTTCTTAAGTTGTGACAAACTAACACCGAATTTGTTGTCGTCTTACACGTCACAAATGAAGCACGTTCCAGAAAATTATATTGAACAAATAAAGCTCATATTAGACCTCATCTCATTTATCATCTGTTTTTATCTTTATCAAGCTGAACTTTGAGTTTATCCTAAATTACGTAATAAATCAAAGGAATACCATAGATGCTTCAGTATATTTCAGCTAGAGTCTAAGTACATTATTCATTTAAACAGAAAAGTTTCCAGCAAAGATTCCTAGCCTGGTTACCTGCAGCTTCTGCTGCCTTGATCCCCATATCAACTGTGTGTTAAGTGTTGATACCACCTGCTTCCTGTGACGGTAACCAGGTTGTCAGCCGTGTTAAGTGTTGGTACCACCTGCTTACTGTGATGGTAACCAGGTAGTCGGCCGTGTTAAGTGTTGGTACCACCTGCTTACTGTGATGGTAACCAGGTAGTCGGCCGTGTTAAGTGTTGGTACAACCTGCTTACTGCGATGGTAACCAGACAAATATTAGCTGACGTTCCCTTTTAATGCACGGGAAAAGGGGGGAGGGGGTAGTGGCACAAATGTATGTTTGTAGACTTACACCGTTAGAAACTGGGTTTCGATACCTGTGTTTGGCAGAGCACAGATAGCCCTTTGTATAGCTTTGTGCTTAACTGCAAACAAACAGATCAGATCAGAACAACAACCCATATATTTCATTCTTTGGAAGGCCCTAAAGGTACATGCCAGATTTGGCAAGAATCGGTCCAGTGGTTCCAGTTATAAGCGAACAGTGGTATAGATATATCTAATATGAGCAAATCTTATCTCATACGTCATAAAACGAACAAGTATCTTATTAGTCGCTATCATCAGAAAAGGAATTTCCACCAAAGAAACCTTGAAAGTCGTGGTTGATTAACAAATCGAATAGCGTCTCGTACAAGTTGCACGAGCCAGCGATACCTTGATTTGTGATGAGAGAGAACGATGCGAAAAGCCATTGTACAAGCATATTCTCCTTTCCGTGCACAGTATAACCAAATCACTATTGTAAGTTCTGTTAACGAGTACAAGTTAGGAGAACTTATGACCAAATAAACCTGTCCATGAAAAGTGAGTTTTTGAGCTGTGAAGAGTGGCATTTGTCATCAAAAAAAGTAAAACTTATATAATTATTTTAACTAATGTGTTAACCCTCGAAGTATCTTACTATTTATTCTGTAGGTGATTCTACAGTAGGTAAAATGAAAAGGTGAATTTAATGCCCAAATTTACATGATTTATCATTAATACGCCTAAAGTAAGTTCCAAATAATCGTAATTTTGTGTTTATGCTTCTCGTATAAGTGGTTCGGATCCCCGTCACACCAAACATGCTCGCCCTTTCAGCCGTGGGGGCGTTATAATGTGACGGTCAATCCCACTATTCGTTGGTAAAAGAGTAGCCCAAGAGTTGGCGGTGGCTGGTGATGACTAGCTGCCTTCCCTCTAGTCTTACACTGCTAAATTAGGGACGGCTAGCGCAGATAGCCCTCGTGTAGCTTTGTGCGAAATTCAAAAACAAACAAAACTCGTATAAGTTTCAAATTAATATGATTTATATAACATTACTTATTCATATAATTAATGAATAAGATTCTAATAAGTAATTAGTATGTATTGTTCTAAAATGTATATATTTTATCTTGTAAAGATATATTTGCTGCAGGAAACTTCTGCGCACGAGATACAATGCTTAATTTA